AAGTTTAGTTTTTAAAAATATGATATATTTCAATTTTTTTATTTTACTGAATTTCTTTTTCACATCTAGTTTTAATTTTTAGTTTAGTTTTAGTGAGCTATAATAACCTTGCCACAGACTGAAATACTCTGTCCCCCCAATCTTTAGTCTCAACAGAAACTAATACGTTTTTAGCCTGCACTTAAAGTCTTCTCATAAAAGTGTGTTTAAGAAGAAGCTCAATGCCTCAGAGTCACAGGGTGGTGGAGCCCTTCACCCTTAACATAATTTGAAAGGTGGGGTACAGCATGAACTTACTGCCAGCCTATAGCAGGGCCCTCTCTTTAACATGCTAATTAATCATTCCTACCATATTCTTCTGACTCTTTTCTTTAGAGTTGATCTTGCTTGTACTTTACCCCTCCGAATAGTGTTTGTTCGTGTGATCTTTGGTCTTAGAACGTGTTTTGCAAGCTAAAATCTGCAACTTCCTTTTTGTTCAAACAAACCCAATGTGCAGTTGTAATTTTTAACTTTTCATTTATTTTTCAGTTCCTTCTGTAAACATTAATTCTGGTTTTATGTTTACATTTCAAAGATTATATTTTGATGTTTGTGATTTTAATAATAAGTTCCATTAAACTGACCTGCAAAAAATGACTTATTGTTTGTCACTACAGTAACTACGATACTGATGTTCTAACTATTGTCCCCATATTAAAAATGTAAGCATAAAACACATGCATGCAGGAGATTTTTGTTATTTTTTTAATACTTGCAAAAGTAGTTAAGCATAACTGCTAAACTGGAACAATGATGCTGATAAAGACCACAAGCCCAGAAATGATTTTACTCTCCTTTATGTGTCTTTAAAGTAGATTAACTCCAGCCAGAAAGCCTATTCTCTTTATCTACAGCTATGTTGGATTTGAAAATCAAGATTTCCTTCTGACTTTTAAAAGCTTACTTTTCAAAGGGGAACACATTTGTTCCCTCTCTTAAACCTCTGTACAGTCATAAATAAAAAGCTTTGTCATTGCATGACATTGCTTTTTGTTCAGTGGTCATGTGATAATATTACTGTAACGTCATCCAAACTTCTAATCAATGTATTGTATATCGTGCATTTGCTATACTGTCCATTTAAAATGTCATACCAAATAAAGTGCTTTGAATGCACGAGTAATGTTTTCATTGACACAATTCTTGGATTCATTTAGATCGTAGAATTGGAAAAAAAAAATGCTCCCAACAAAAGGATCAGGAAGTCAGGGAAGGGCTGGAATTTCAGTTCTCCCCTGGGAGGGCCCCTCTCACTGTGGCGTGTTACGTAATCAGAAGTTGCTTATAAAATACTCATCTGGTCAGAGAAAAATCCCAGTAAGAGAAACCAGACAAAAATCGGCAATCAGCATGTCTCTCGATCCAGAGAAGGTATGCCTGACATCTTTAAACCAAACTGTTTTTGTTGTTCTTGTTGCTTCAGCTAGAGTTTGCTCTAATTTTATGGTGTTTGTCTCTTGTTAAGCATGTAGAGCTAAGCTAGTGACAATGGATTTATCAGTTAAAGTCGTGTAAAAGCATGGATGAGCCATGTGGGTTCATTTTATTTTGCAAGT